GTGTTATGCAAATCAAGGTAAATGGGTTAAGGTATCATCAGTGAAAACAGTTTGGACACCATTGACCTAAACCTTTCAATCTCTCAGGATTTCATTCTCTTCTTTTCATTATTTTATGCCTGTGTTCTTTATTATTTTTTGTTTTCTCACTTTATTACCACATATCTTGAGATTTATCTTGTCTTTTCTCCCTGCTTGTTACAAGGATTTATACTATTTCTTTTCTCTAAAAGCTTCTTTCTCACACCCAAATGCCTATTTTCCCCACAGATTCATGACTCATTTTTTCCTGATTTATAGACTTTCTTCCTGTCCTTTTCTTCATTCCCTGTCAATGGTATCTTTATGGCCAGCTTGGTGATTGAGCCCCTTACCTTCTATTTTTACTTTCTAGTTGGTCATTTTTGCTTTTTTTCCTCTTTTTCTCTTTGCAATTCTGTATTCCCTCTCCTAACTCTGCCTTTTATCTGAGGCATGTCTTCATGCTCCTTATGGCTTATATATATATATTTGTTTTCTTTGTTTAGCCTGTTTCACTTCTTCTGTTCTATCCCTGCTGGCAGGACTTGTTGGGTCAGGTTACTTTTCTCTTTGCCGTACTGCTTTCTTCTTCTTGTGTACTTCATATTTGTCTGGCTCTCTTTCTTTGCCCAAATGTCTTTTCCCTTGGTGACCTGGTCTGATGTTATATAACTTCTGTCCTTGTTATTTTCCCAGTTTTATTTTCCTCTTTCCCGACCTTGCCTTTTACTCTTATTCCTTGTCTAGATTTGTCCCCTTCTCACTTTCCTGTTGTGGATTTCAGGCTTTCTTCTTCTTTTTTTTTTTTTGTCTTCCCTCTTCCAGAAGTCTGGTTTGTCACTTTACTTGTCATTGACTCTCATATATGTGCAATTTTGTAGGAACCTATCTCTTCTGCTGCTGTTGGTCTTAATTTCTGCCAACAGACATTTTCCATTTCTCCACCTTTGTCTTTTTCTTTGCTCCTCTTCACACTTTCTTTTTTCATCCCTCATAACCCATCTATGGTCTTTTTCACCTAGTCAGCATTTAGTTATGGTCAATATGTTGGACACCTTCCTACATATCTCTTTCAGCCTGTCCTCTCTTTGTTTTCTATACATTATCCATCTTTTTTACATTTTCCTTTTGACTCAATATCAACCCCTCTTGTAATCCATGGCATCTGAGGGTCTTTACTTGCCACATTCATGGCCAAGGGCTGGTGTTCCTTTTCTCAGAGTATTTTCTTCTGGTAATCCATTCTCTATTATTTGCTTTTCTCCTTCCTCCTTTTCTTTCCTATGGCTACTTTTCTCATCCACACAGTGTTTGGTACTTTTGACATTTTCTTCTCTTGTCTCAACCAAGTTTAGTTTATCTTCCGTGCTTGTGAGTTATAACATGTCTGGCACCAGGTTTTTCACTTTTCATTTTCTTCCTGAGCAAGAGGTAATTTTGCATTTCAATACTCTGACTTTCCTACAACCCCTCATTTCTTTGGGGCATGCACTCATGTCTCCAGGTTATGGACATTATGGATCCATGGTTTTCCAGGGCTTTTGGGTGTTAGACATACACTTCTGAGCCCACCCACATCACTTTGGAGATCCATTGCTCTCTTTTTTGAGTATCTTCTCAAGGAATTGTCATTGTGACTGGACCATGTCCAGACTACTTCCTGCATTTCCTTACTGCTTCTCAAACTGGATCTTTCCCTTCTTCAATGCTTCTCACTTAGTTGAGGCACATTTCAGTTGAAGGCAGGACTTCTGACGTTTAGATGCTGGTTATGCTTTCACTCAATCTTAACGTGCTCAATCATCTCTTTATTTGTCGGCCATGATTCCATTCCTGCTTCTCTGGGTGGATCATTTGGGCCTGTTCCAGGGCTTTTGGGTGTTAGACATACACTTCTGAGCCCACCCACATCACTTTGATCTTATTGTCTGTCATTTGCCAAGAGCATACATTTTGGTTGTTCGCAACTCTCAGCCACTCAGCTTTCTACCAACTCAGTGGTCTTCCACTCCCAGATCCTTTGCGGGGTTTGTTCTTGGTTGGACATGACCTTCTTGGACACATTTGTCACTCTTCACAACTCTAGGCTTCCTCCCTTATAGTTCACTATTTGTCATCCTTTGGCTCTGGCTGTCGATTTTCCCAACAAGGCCTGGTCTCATCTTTTTCTATATGCCCATTCTTCTATTTGTCTCCTCCCTCTTGTCCTCATCTTTAAATATTACTTTCTTTCTTGGGTCCTATTCTTGGCACCTCTACCCAACTCAGCCTTGGTCTGCTTGACATTTGGACCCACCCACCCCTTCTACTTCCTTTTATCAATTTCTCTGTTAAATATACACGACTGTTTAAGTTAATGTGAGTGTTATGATTTAGATGGTTTAAATATAATGTGAGTGTTAAATTACTTTTAGAAGCAATAGTTTATCGCAGATTTCTTTATGTAACCATTTTCAAATTATAAGTTAAAGTTCAACTATTGTGAATTGGCAATTGTATTATTGCATCATGTTACTAAAACCTTCTAAATTTTTCTCGTTGTTTTGATTGAGAATTATTGCATCATAATATTTCGTAGTGTGTAAAATGTAGTTCGAGTTAGTTAAATAGATAGAGATAAATAATCTAGACTGCATGATTGTGAGTTTTGTGATAAAAAGCATATAGTGGCAATTTTTAAAGTGAAGTTATCACAGATTGTACTGTAACAAGAGAGTAGACAAGAAGAGTTTGTCTTTTAAATTGTGTTCGAAAGTGATTTAACCAGCCTGTGTGGAATTTGATGAAAAAGAGACAATTATTTAACCCTCTCACATGGTTTTTCTGACTTACATTTAAAATTTTATGAAATTCTTTTTTGTTTTTGTTATACCAATTAGTATAGCATAAATCATAGCTAATAATCCATATTTTAATAGTATATAAGTTTTATAATTTTATAAGGCAATACTTAAAAAAATCCTGAATTTCCCCTTGTGTGAGAAATGTGACATATTTTCTCAAGGCATCTTCCCTTTTCATTATTTTATTCACCACCTCTCCAATAAGTATGAAATTTAACGTAACTTACTCACTATAAAATCATAATTCCTCAGACAAACCATAATTTTTATAGCCTTCAATTTTGTTTGGTTACAGAGCCATTAAATAGAAAATCATACTCCTCTTGCCACACCTTCCTGTCACATCTTCTCCTTCAGGATTTGTAGAAGCTTAATTCTCACAGAAAAGATAACGACTAACTTGGATAAATTTGTAATGGCTCTTTTCACATAGTTAGAAAGCCAGAAAAATTGTGATAGTTAGAGGAAATTGTCTGCTTTTTGCATGTTATTATTCAATGTTCTTTGGTACATTATTTAATTAAATAAAATGTATTTAGTACATTACTACCATTAGTATAAAAAGTAGAGTTAAGTGTCATTGACAGTCAAGGATAAAAAAAAAGATAAGAAGACCCGGGTACGTACTTTATTTCTTGTTTTTTATGTTTATTTATTTATTATTATAAAAGTAACTGAAATGTAAAAATGGGGTTCTCTTTAGATTAGTTAAGGTTAGATTAGGTAAAATAAATAATAATAATATAATATAAATGTTCCTAACAATTGGTGTGGTGGACCATGGAGAACCCATACGAACTGGACTCATATTCTGAGGCAATATACAATTGAATACTAACATGGTGGGAAGTAGGGCAGTGGTGATGCTGTTAGTGTAATGGAGGTCACACCTCATATTCATAACACATGCCACTTTTGCCCCCCTCCTACAGCTTGAGTCTATTCAGTAGAGTTGAGGTGAGCAAACAATATGATAATACTTGCAGCAATTGTCTGTTCAGTTAAGTAGAGGTGAGTACATGATATATGAATAACTAAGGCATGAGTACTCTACCCTCTTCCTGCAGCCAGAATCCGTCTTGTACAGTTGAGGTGAGCACACAAGGTAGGGTCTGAATATGCCCCAACCACACTTACACATTTTAGCTGTTGGATGGTCATGTTCTTTTACTGCCTGTCCCTGCAACATATTGGGCTTATTTACCTCTTCCCCACTTTCTTTCCATGCAAAGAGTATACTTGAATGAGATGCTGTCTCTCACAAATGTGTTCCTATGGATTCCCTGCCATTGGGTGTTACACTCCAAGGGCTTCCTTTGATTGCTTTCTGAAGAGAGCTTCACTAGATAAAATTTGCACCGGCCCCTCCAACACTTCAGTGTGGAAGTATAGCTAAATCTGTGTGAGGAGGTAAGGTACCGTCTCAAAAATGAACATTTTTTTAACCTGGAGACGTATTTCCAATAGATACCTCCTCACCCATTCCCACCAATCCTCCCCATTTCTGATGCACATTCAATCCTTGGCACATCAAAGAAAGAAGGTTAAAGGAGTGCAAATGTATAGGGGGAGTTAGTGCGCATAGAAGTGTGTTGCCTTCCTAATGGTGGGAGGCTTTGTTGCATGGTTACATTATCATGCAGTAGCACAATTCATGTTAACTCATGTGAAATTAGGTAGGAGTTTCCTCAAAGCTAGTGGCATGCAAATCTCTTTGGCAGAAACACAAGGAAGGTAATTAAATCTGTGGATTGAGGTGAGTATCTATTGGAAATACATTTTCAGGTAAGGAAAATGCTACCTTTTAGTGAAGGATTAGTGTGATTACTGTAGTGTATTTGAGAGTATGTGCCTTGAGCATCTAGAAAACATGAATCAATATATTAGTTAAATCTGGTATCTAAGTGAGTAGTACCTTGAAGGGAAGCTTTGTGAAATATATAATTAACAAAATATTTCAAAAACATTTTAAAGTATCAAATGCTTAAAACTCTGAAATGCCAGAAAAAATAATAAATGTAAGTTCAGCTTAAGAAAGAAAATTTTTTTAAAATAAGTAACATATTTTTTTAATCTGTTATAAAAATCATCTGCATAAAATGAAAAAAAAATACATTGATACTGTAATAATGACAGAAAACATTGTCAGTCCTGGAAAGAAGTCAACCATGAAGTTACAATTTCATCTAGTCACAGTTTCTTGGAGGTAGGTGAAGAGATTGATCGCCAGTCAGCTAACAGCTCAGTTTCCTGTGATACAAGTCATGTCTCCATAGTTACAGTAGGAGACACTGAACAAGTGAAGGACTCATCTGTTGCACTTGAGGGGTCAACATTAGAATCTACAGATGTAGACGTTCTCGAGTTCAAAGCAGGAAAATGGGCAATTAGAGAAGAAGAACTATGGAATTCAGAGAAGACTAAAAAAAATGTACTTGTAATTAAACAAGAAGACTTGACATCTAAGGATATGACTGCTAAAAACAAAACTGAAGTAGTAGTAATAAATAGTATTAACAGTGAACATTTAGTGTCTGAGGGACAGATAGTAGAACCCAGTGAACTGAAACCTAATATTAGAATGGTAGAAACAGAGAGAGAGGACAGCAATGGAATGTTTGATGAAGGAAAAAGTGCTGATAAAGTTTCTATCAAGACTTCCATATCAAATGCTTCCTATGAAGACAAACCTAAAATTAAAGTAAACCTCAACTTAAAAAAAAGCTCTTCTTCACCACCATCATCTCCTGTTTTCCCTAGTTCATCAGAAATTAAACAAAAATTGCCAGCTAGTGCACCTAATACTGCACCTTCCACACCTGCAGAGAATGAAAGATTGATACGCCGATCTATATCTGCAACTACAAATAATACACTTTCTCATAAGAAGGAAGTATCAGACACAGAAAGTGTGTCTACTTTAGGCAGTACAGGAAGTCATGGAAGTGGAGACAGCAATGACAAAGAAAACCGGGAAAAGGAAGAAAACCAGACTGTGCTGAGGAAAAAGAAAGATCAAGTATGTAAAGAGTGATCTGTTTGACTCATTGTATCATTCTTTTTATTTATTTTTTAGTAGAGTTTAAATTAATTAAAGGATTATTTTGAAACTTAAGAAGTTCATAGAGGACCTTTAAAGGTCAGTCATAAAGTTGCAAATGTAAAAACAAAAATAAGTGCAAATAATTCCCTCATTATGTAACTGAAAGCAGCTGCATTGATTTTTTGCAATAATCTATTGTACTGACTTAGGAGAGTGTTTTTGAGTATAAACAATCTCAAGAGACATGCTAAACAAAACTAGTACATTGTATACCTATGTATAGAAGTGGAGCTCTTTGCCCAAAACTATCTATGAATCTTTAATACTTTATCATGTAGCATACTTTTGAAGTAATTTTTGACAGGTAATAAGTTTATATAAAAATGTCTGTATTTTCTATGTAAGTAAAAGAATAACGTGTGTCAAGTCATCAGTCTATGCATGTATGTGTGCTAGCTCACGTGAAAACCCAGTAATCCTGTAGGCTAGTTCTTCAGTAGTATTTTTATGTTTGTATGAGTGCAAAAGTGAACTATGTTTAATGTGCATTGTTCTATATATAAGGGCAAAATTAAGACGTTTATAACATTAACTTTAAAAACAATTACTTCAGTAACATAAACATGCAAGGAAATACATATATACCTTTCCATGGCTTATAAATAATGCAGTACAATTACATCTCAATACAAATTCAAACAGGTACCTAAAAATCAACAATTAGGCCTAAAGTTTAAGTTGCTTCGTATGAGAAGAACAAGTTTAACCACTAGGGGAATAAAATATTACACCATTTCTGTTATTGGTGGAAGTGGACCTGACTCTTTGTTAATACTTTAGGAGAGAGTAAAAAAAGAATTGATACTATTATTTAAGGGAAAAGATAAGAGAATAGCAACAATTGAAGGCAATTTAATTTTACACTTCTTGATACCATGATTTTTTAAACATTCACTGTTTTATAACATTGCTTTATTAAGTTTGGTCGAGAAAAAATGTTAAGATCTTAGTCAAAGATGGCGATTATCTTGAAAGGCAGGTTTGTGCAAAAAATTTTGTGTACAGAGACGTATTTCATTTATACTCATTCCATATTCTGCTTAGAAGGTTTTTGTTTCATTCATGTACAACTACATAATACCACAGCAGCATTATTTAAAGGATTTATCTATTTAAAACAAATATCCTTCTCATATATATGTATGTGAGTATATATGTGCTGCATATGTGGCTTTGGATTATGTGGTATGGAACTACTTTGTATCTGGGAAGTCAAGGACTATCTCATCTATGTCCATTTTTTTTCCTAAACAATGTTCAAATACAGTACGTTACCTCCTCTCACATAAATAGATATTCTCATTTAGTGCTGCCCTCTAAAGTTTTTGACTGATTCCATTGTGTGTCTTATGTAAGTCATCATGCGCCAACCCACCATCAATAATGGTGTGACATATTCTCATGACGCATGTGACTCCCTCTATTCAGTTCTGCTGAACTATCACTTCTCGTTTGGTAGTACTTTTGTATAGACATTTTTTCTTTTGGTGCTCTTCATGTGATTTGCATTCGTGACTTTAATCATGTAATTACCAAAGTGGGATTTCTTCATTAATTTTGTTTTTACCTAAAAAGAAGTATTTTACTTTAACTTCATTTCTGAGTTTTTATTTTGTTTCTCTCACTCTTGCGATTTTTTTACATCAAACACTTTAGTTTTATATATATATATATTCTGAGGTTCATGTTACCACTTTAAGTATAATATCTCCTACTAGCACTCTTTCTCAGGCTACAGGTGGGGGAGATCTGTTGCTGGATTTATCTGCAATTATCTACCATGAAATTGATTGTTATATGGGTCAACCTCCTTCTCCTGAACGTGTCCCACTTCCTCCTGAGCAAGCCAAACCTGTTCGGGCCGATGAAGATTTTGATGGTCTTTTTCCACCACCAGATTTTGCCATGTCTTCCTATGCCCCACCTGCAGAATCAGCTAGGCCTTATAAACATTATTTCTCAGGCATGTGATGTTTTATTCATTTACCCAATTTCCTATGATCCTTGTCCTTCTTTGTTGCACGATAGTTGTTCTTCTCCATATTTAGTTTTCCCACCCTCCCAGGATATTATGGTACATGCTGAGCAACTTGCTTCACAATTGGTTGAGGGTACCCGCATGCCTCATCCTCCACAGGCTCCGGATCAGTTTGCATTAGCTTACCATCAGGCTGACTGTCCGTTTCTTGACTCTTAACAGTTGGGGTTGATTTTACCTGTGTGGGGGGTGGTCCCTGATTTTCCTGTGCATTTAACTCCTGCCCAGTTTTTATGCCTTTGTCTTACCCTTACTTCCCTTCTACTGTATTTATCTACTATCCATATCCTTTCTAAGGTGATCCACCTGGACTCTGAGGGTTTTTTCAAGGGAAAGCCTCTCCTTTATTACTTCCACATTGGCTAGATTGTCATCTTCGGCTCTCACTTCACACGCATGGTTTCTCTCATGTTGGGATCTTCTGGGTCAAGATGTGGCCAGGTTTGTTTGCTGCCCCTTATCCTAGGGATTTATCTATGGCCCATTTCTTTGGCAGTGTGTTTTTGATCATGTACGTGAGACTTTGGAACCACGTGTGGAGTCTGTGCATTGACACTATACCCTTTCCTCTTTGGTAGCACGCTTGTTGTAGTCCGAGCCAAGACAAGCCCCATTCCTGTTTCCTGTCTTTGTCCTTCTCAGTCTTTACCTGTTCCTCCTTCCAGGGGTTGCTCATTTTGTTGTATTATTCAAAGTATATGGGCACATTGCCAACAGTACCAGTGACTACCAGTCTGAAAGAGCTCGATTGTACAAATTTGTTTCCCTTTGGCGATCTTTCACCACAGATTTTTTTTCGGATTTTATCAGAGGGACTTGTCCTACAATTTCTTTTCCCATGCTTCTTAATCATACCACCAGCCAGAAGCAGTACATGACCTTTTGTCTGAATGGGCCATCGAACCTGTTCATCATCTTTTTTCTAGATATTTATTCCAGGCTGTTTGTTGTACCAAGAAAATTGGAGACTGGCAGCCTGTAATAATTTGTCCTGCCTCAATCAATTTCTCAATCTGCCCTGTTTCACCATGGAGTCATTTCTCACCCACAAATGGGCTTTTTTTTTTTCAGGTTTATGGATGGTCAAGATGGATGTCACAAATGCTTATTTGCATATCCCAATATCTCGTCAGTCACGACCCTGTTTTTGGTTTGTTCACCACGAGGTGGTTTATCAGTTTCGCATGCAGCCCTTCAGACTTGCTTTGGTCCAGTATATTTTTTGTTGGGTGGTCAAATCATTCGCTTGTCACTTGCATGCTCTAGGGTTCTGCTTTCATCATTATATGCACGGATAGCTATTGTTAGCTCATTCCAAACGGGAGTCCACCCATCACAGTTAACATCTGTTCCTGGAGGTCGCTTGAGTGGGCTGGTTAATCAAGTTGGAGAAGTCATTCCTGCGACCTACCTAATATTTTGTCCATTTGAGTGTTTTTTCAACATCCATCTCAGTCAGGCCCAACCTTCTCCTCTTCGACTTCATTCGATGGGGCTTTCAGTTCTCCACTCTCTTATTGCTCCCTCTATTACAGCTCATGAGACTCTATCACTTTGGGGGAAATGGTCTTCTTTGACAGCCCTTATCCCCTTGGTCGGGCTCTTCATGACCAGTGGAATCTTGCAAGGGATCCTTTGATAGCTCTTATTACCCTTCCTCCTACCCTGATCAATGATCTGCATAAGTGGTTGGACAAGACTTGCACATCAGTGGATGTCCTTCTTCCTCCTCCTTGTCCAAATTTACACATTTTCACAGATGCATCCCTTCAGGGGTGTGGGTCGATCAACAGGAAGCTTCGGGTATTGGTCTGCGGTCAAGAGATATATCAACATTCTGAAACTTCTTTCTGTATATCGTGCTTTGGTTCATTTTCTCCACCAGGCCAGAAATCATCTGGTAATGATCCATTCAGACAATTCTACAGTGGTTGCTTAACTCGATCACCAGGGTGGCACCCATTCTTCATCCCTCTGTATTCATATGTTGGATCTTCTTTTTTGGACCCACTTGCTAGATACTCATATCATAGTGTGTCATATTCTGGGTACTTTCAGTCTTGTTGAGGATTGGCTTTCCCACCCAGACAAAGTCTATCTGATGGAGTGGTCTCTTGATCCTTTTGTTTTCCATGGCTTTGCCTTCAGTGGGGTACTCCTCACATTGATACTTTGTGACATTCCTCAACCACAAATTGCTTCTGTTTTGGTCTCCAGGCCCTCAGCCTAGTGCTCTGACTGCTGATGCTTTCAGCCAGGACTGGACAAACAAATACCTATATGTCTATCCTCCCAGTCAACTTCTTCATTGGATGATTTTAATCATCCATGCCACTTCATGTCAAGTTCTTCTGATTACTCCTTACTGGCTGGCTCAGCCATGTTTTTGCAGCTTCTTTAGCTCCAACTTACCCTTCTGTTACGTCTTCTCCTGACTCCATCCTTTCTTTGTCAACCTCAGTCAGTGGTGCTTCATCCAGCCATTCCTGTCCTCCATCTTCATGCTTGGTTTTTATCCAGTCTTTGGCAAGGAGTTCTGGGTTGTCCTAATGAGAAGCTTCTTTTCTGGCTCATTCCGTTTGCCCTTCCTCCATGGAAGTTTATCAACGTAAATGTAACATTTTCCACCATTAGATTCTGGATCATAGGTTTTCGCCTGCTTAACCCACTGTTCCTCATATTGTAGATTTCCTCAATTAGCTTTTCGATTGGGGGTCTGCTGTGTCCTCAATCTCCAGTTATCGGGCAGCTTCGTTCCACACCTTTCATTTTTCACAATACCATAGGGTGTTTACCTCTCCTACTCTTTCCTTCTGGATTTGTCATCCATTGTGGTGCACTGCCCTTACAGATTGAGATGTTAATGTGGTTCTTTTCTGCCTCACATTGCCTATGTTCAAAACACTCTCCTTGTGTCACCTTTCCCTTAAAACTTATTTCCTTCTCCTCTTAGCCTGTGGAGATTGAAGACCTGAGTTATTTACCACTGATGTTTCACATGTTCTTTATCATTCCATATAAATTTTCCTTTATCCAGATCATTCTTCTCCCCCCCAAAAAAACAAACTTTGATGGATTGTGAGGGAAAGTCCTCCTTTTTAAAGATTTCTTCCATTTCCTACCTTTATCCTTGACCTGATCCAGATAGATTTCCAGGCCCATTCATGCTTCTTTATCCCTTGGCAGCCGTCTTCTGTTCATAATCTTTCTCCTTCCACCCTCACCAATTAGACTCTGCTTTAAATCGATTGGCTTATTTCTCTTTATTGTCTTCCTCTTCTTCTTTTTTCTGGGTGTCTTCACAACAAATTAGACATCTTACCATTTTCACAGACATCTCATCTTCGTTATACCTTGGAGGAACTTCTTCCAGTGGGCATGTGTGTACTACCTCTAATACGTTCGTCTCTCACTATTTGCATAGGATCACGATTTTTTCCTCTTCAAACTGTCATCTTCCACCTGTAGCCATTCTTTAGACTTCATTGAGACTTAAGCTGAGTAAGTTATTTTTTATTATCTTTATTTCTTTTCAGGGGCCTTTTTCACTTGTTGTTATTACTCATTGTTTAGATCCTGCTCTGTGGTGACCAGATATTCTTTAATATATCAAATCAACACTGTAAAGCCAT